AAGCCAAGTGCTTTAGCTATATGGTATCAGCAGACATACCAAAGAAGCGAGATGATCAAATGAGAAGTCAGGAAACACATTGAGCCAAAGACACTCTACGACACCCACACTGTTGATATGCGCAGTGAAGCAGTGAAGCAGCGGCTGCAGAGTCCGAGACACTGACACGTTTGTCACGTGACCGGTTGTTTTGATACATGCTCCAACGCAGTGTTTTGAAGCAATTTGCTTCGGAAAGAGTGACACAAGCTCCTGAGCATTGGTGTCATTTGCCCATAATTAATATCTACTCAAAAGTTCTAAGAGTTTCATGTGAGAAGTTTGTAGATACATTGACTCATCACCTCACAACACGGTTGTGTTCTACAGAAGTTCTCTGACGACTTTGCCATCATCGGACTCAGCTCTGAGAACGATGACGCAGAGTACAGAGGAGTAATACAAGACTTTGTGGACTGGTGTCATCGGAACCTTGGAAGACCAAGGAGATGGTGATGGATTTCCGCAGACGTCACTCTGCCGCTCCAGCTCCAGTGAACATCCAGGGAAAGGACATCGAGAGAGTGGACTCTTACAAGTACCTGGGTGTTCATCTGAACCACAAACTGGACTGGACTCATAACACAGATGCCCTCTTCAAGAAGGGCCAGAGCCGCCTCTACCTGCTGAGGACGCTTAGGTCTTTTGAAGTGCAGGGGCCACTCCTGAAGACCTTCTATGACTCTGTGGTGGCATCAGCCATCTTGTACGGTGTGGTCTGCTGGAGCAAAAGCATCACAGAGAGGGACAGGAAGAAGCTGGACAAGGTCATCAGGAAGTCCAGCTCAGTCCTGGGCTGTTCCCTGAACACAGTGCAGCAGGTGGGGGACAGGAGGGTCCTGGACAAACTAACATCTATGCTGGACACTCTGCTCTGGAGAGCAGCCTCAGTGATAGACTTATTCACCCTCGATGTGTGAAGGCGAGGTTCTGCAGGTCTTTCCTTCCTGCTGCTGTCAGACTGTACAACAAACAATAAGGATCAATGAACACTGCTAATGTACAGATGTAAACATACTGCTGCTAATGTACAGATGTAAACATACTGCTGCTAATGTACAGATGCTAACATATAACTACACTTTGCTTGCACTAGATTACACAGTACTTTATACTTGCCTCTTATTTAGTCAATTTAAAATTTTTACATCTATTATAATTTCAAAATAGAGATTTTATACTTATTATTGATGCTAGAGTTAGATTATTTTTATTTTGTTTAGTATAGCTATTTTTCACTTAACGTGTGCTGTGTGCTCCTCTTTCCTACTGTCCTATAACCTGTGATGCAACACTGAAATTTCCCCACTGTGGGACAAATAAAGGATCTCTCAATCTTAATCTTAATCAAACAAAGTATGAAAAGCAATCACACTAATTAGGGCTATAGAGTAATTAACAAATTACTTCTAAATGATTTTAAATAATTTTGAAGTTTAGAAAAAATATTTAATAACGTATATTTTATCATTATTAGATAAAACAAGCGGGGGGTTAATCTGGCCTAAGGGGGGTTAAAATAGCCTAGGCCAGAATAAACCCCGGGGTTTACGGCCTGTTACACCGGGCTGGCCTGATGGGCTCGTAGCTAAGGGACTACGCACCTATTCGTAGAACTTAAGTTACATAAGTAACTATTAATTCTACGTCATGGTGCTACGTCCCTTAGGACTTCGCTAGTGGGACACAATGTGGAGGCCGTAGGAACATGTACTCCCAGCAGGCCAGCGAAGAGTGATTGGAGCCCCGCCCGAGCAAGACCCTCACACAGTGAGAGGACACAGGGCAGAAGAATAATCAATTGCGTGTTACAGGGCTGCTCCTCCCAAGGACACCCCCAAGTAACACAGACCGAAGGCCACCCGTAGTGCCAGGACGCCTCTCCCAAGAGCTCCTGACGTGGACTACCTAACTGACCAAAAGCACACACATACCGCACCTGCAGGACGCCTCTCCCAAGAGCTCCTGAACCAGGGTGGACAAGTCAACCGTAGACCCCCTCAGAAAAGGAACCTCACGGTTTCAACTCAATCCGCTGCACTAAGCACGGAATGGGCCACCGACCGGTCCGACACATTCAAAGGCAAGACCGGACGAAAGAGTAGGACGAAGCCCAAGAAGCCGCACGGCACACGTCCTCGACCGAAGCCCCCCCCGAGGAGGGCCGTAGAGGCCGCCACCCCACGCGTGGAGTGTGACCTGAAACCCACTGGGGGGGCCAGGCCCTGAGCCTGATACGCCCGCCGCACAGCCGTGGCGACCCAGTGCGCCTGTTCTTGGGGCCCAGACACACAAACAGCTGATCAACCAACCTGAAGGAAGATGTCATGGCCAGGTAACGCCTAAGCATTCTGACAGGACACAGAAGGTGCCGCCGCTCCTCCTCTGGGGAGGCATGCGGGGGCGGATGGAAAGCCCTAATCCTGATCACTCTCGACCTGAAGGCCGAAGTGATGACCTTAGGGAGAAAGCCGGATAGGGCCACAACTCCACCAGTCCGTCACCCTCTCCACAGGACAGGCAAGACGCATGGATGGAAAGCGCACGCAAGTCGCCCGCCCTCTTAGCAGACGCCAACGCCAGCAAGAGGGCAGTCTTAAAACTACACACTCTGGGCCGCCTCCGACACTGGTTCAAAAGGCGGGCCCGAAAGACCCCTAGGGACCACCTTGAGGTCCCAAACCGGGGGCGTTCTCTGAAGCGGGGGCCTCCTCCTGCGGGCGGAGAACGGATGAGAACGGGGCGTGAACCCCCCCGAAACCGCCGTGACCCCGGCTTGTCCGGGAGGGCCCAAGGCTCCATCACCGCCATGCCCCTCAGGAAAGGGAACCACCGGGCATGTGGACTGTCCGGAGCCACCAGGACCACCAACCTTCCCTCCTGTTCAATCCTCCGCAGCAGGACCGGCAGGAGACGAACTGGTGGAAACGCATACAGCAGGCCCCCTGGCCAGGGGTAGTGAGCCAGGGCGTCCACCCCTAAGGGCGGTTCGTCCGCGGCCCTTAAGGCGAACCAGGACGGGCACTGTGCGTTCTCTGCACTGGCGAAAAGGTTGACCACTGGACGGCCGAATCTCCGCCAGACCTCTGCAGCTATCCGCGGGGCCAGGCCCCACTCGTCCTGGAGTGGGCCCCCCCCTGGACATCCTGTCGGCACCCACGTTCCGGGCACCCGGGACATGGCGCACCCTCAGGGACAGGAGGTGAAGCGCCACCCACAGCAGCATCATCGTCGCCATGCGATGGAGAGCGGGGGATCTGGTGCCTCCCTGTCTGTTCAGATAAGACACTACCGTGGTGTTGTCTGAGTGAACCATCACGTGTCTCCCCTGCAGCTGAGGAGCAAAGTGCAGCAGCACCCTGTGTACTGCCTCCCGCAATAGAGACGGAGTTAGCTAGAACGCTGCAGTTTGGGGAACCCAGATCAGCCTCCCCCCGTCCCGGGAGGGGTGAAGCCTGAGGCGTGAGAACCATCTCTGAAAGTTCCCCATGTGGAGGAGGCCTAGCCGCTCCACAGCATGAGCCGCCGCCATCATCCCCAGCAGGGACCTGGGGCCCGCTAGCACCTCCCTGGCTAGACGGGTAATGTTCCTCCGTCTGTCCTCGGACAATGCAGCACGGAACGTCACATAGTCTAGCTGCAGGCCGAGATGTTGATTCTTTTTTTTAAAAAAAATTCTGTTCACCACGAAGCCCAGACGCTGTATGTGGGAAAGGACCCAGTGCGTGTGACTCACGGCCACTTCCCTGGACGAGGCCAGTATCAACCAATCGTCTATATAGGTTAATATTCTTACCCCCGCGCGTCTGAGCGGCTCCAGTGCCGCCTCCACGCACAGTCTGAGGCGCGAGCGCGTAACCGAAGGGGAGACGGCAGTACTCGTAACTCCTCTCTCCCACTGCGAAGCGCAGGAACTTGCTGTGTTCCGGAAGTATCGCCACGTGAAAATAAGCGTCTGTCAGGTCTATGGAGGACATCCAATCTCCCTGCCTGACACACTCCAGGAGCTGTTTTGTGGACAGCATCCGAAACTGACGCTTCTTTCTTCTTCTTTAACATATCTTTATTACGAGGAATAGCCTCTTGAGATGCATCATCTCGTTTTCAGGAGGGTCCTCAAAAATAGCAACACAAGTAGCAGCAGCGGTTGTCAAATAAATGCAGTTACAGTAAAGTGTAACAAATAAAAAACATAACAAATTACAGTAAATAAATTCAATAAAATAACAGACAAAAAAACAAAAAAAACAATACAAGGACAGAAACATTCACTCACACACACACACACACAGAGCTCTCAGAGGTCACCCTACTCCTCAAACTAGTACAGTGAAAACCAAAGGATATAATATTTAAAAGAAAGTTCAGTAGCAGTTACAAACATTACACCGATGCCTTTGTACAGCAACTTTAAAAAGAGAAAAAGAAGTTAAAGAGCGAATAGAGGCCGGAAGGAGATTCCAGTCGTTTGGGGCTTTATATTGGAAAGCATATTTGCCAAGTTCTTTTTTCACACGAGGAGTGTGAAAGAAAAGCTGGTTTGTGTGACGAAGATTATAAGAGGAATTAAAAGGGGTTAAATATTGCTTTAAATAAAGAGGATAATCCAAAAAATAACATTTATAAATGAAAAACAACCAGTGAGAGTGACGTCTTTGGGATAGAGAGAGCCAGGACAGCTGCTGGTACATGTCACAGTGATGGGTCCTGTAGGGGCAGCGCAGAATGAACCTGCACAGGCTGTTGTAGGCAGTGCTCAGAGGATGGAGAGAAGTGGAGGTGGTATTTTGATAAACTATGTCTGCATAGTCTAATATGGGAAGTAGTAGTTGTGAAATAATCCTTTTCCGTGCAGATAAATTAAAGCAGTCAATGGATTGATAAAGTGTTTTCAGTGAATAGTTAATTTTGTGTACAGTGTACGCTTGGAAATGCACTCGTTCAAAGTGCGCAGATCCAGAATGGGACGCACCCCTCCTGACTTCTTTGGCACTAAGAAGTAAGGGGACTAGAGCCCCCTGGTGGCGTCCTGTGGGTCTACCTCTACTGCTGCGCCTCGACTTAGCAGAGAGGAGACCTCCACTTGCAGTGCCACTAATGATCCCCGTACCTGAGAGCGTGCTGCCCCACGCCCCGGAATGGCGGTGGCTTTTGGGAGAGTTGCAATGCGTAGCCCCTGCGCATGGTCTTCTCTAGCCACGGATCCGACAGTAAGCCCTGCTCCCTCCAGATGCTGTAGAAGTCTGTGAGGGGCGGAACGGGAACTGGAACACGAGACGTCACAGCCCCGCCCTCTCCTGGTGTTCCTAGCAGGGAAGGGGGGGTGAACCAAGCCCCGGCGATCCAAGATGGCGCCCTATTCAAATGAATGGTTGTGCTCAGTGGCGCTTTGTGACAGCATGGGGGCTGAAAGATTAGCGGAAGTTGCCTGAAACTCGCAAAGATCTATGGGAAACTCGCCTGTATTTGGGCATCGTCTGGTCCTCCCGGTTCTGCGCAGTGGATGATCTCCCATAATGCGTTGCGCCAAACACGCGTGTGTGGGTCTCACACCGGGTCTCACGCACGTGCACAGAGGGGCTTAGTTATGGTGCGTTCAGACCAAACGCGATTTCTGCGGCCAAATCGCGTATATCGCGCGGCTTGAGCCGCTTGTGACAAATTGTGACAGCCGCTGTCACAGAGAAACTTGGCCGCGCGGCCAGGACACTAGAGGGCAGCCGCTGTCACAGAGCGTTGAGAGCGTTTAGGGGCGGGGCTTGTCTCTTTTGCCTGTAGCTTCCCAAAATGGATGTCAGCGAAGGAGTTGCTTGGCTCTATCTAATAAATAAAGCCAGACAGCGTCGTCAAAGGGCGAATCGACGACGTGTCTGGATTCATCAGATAGTCCGTAGACGGTTGGAGTTTGGTGAGTTTCACCATTTGCTCCGGGAGCTGCGCTCGGATGAGGGTCGCTTTCAGCGGTACTTTCGTCTCTCCCTGGCCCAGTTTGACGACCTACTGACCCGCATTGGCGCAAGGATCACCTACCAGGACACCAACTACAGGCGCTCTATTCCAGCTGAAGAGCGCCTGTCCATCTGTCTGCGGTTAGTGTTTTTTACCCCATTCGGAATTCCTAAATACTTACAAAGTTTGTCATTTTTCAATCACAATCCACAATGTAATAGCTCAGAAAACAGTATTATGCAACAATTTGGTGTCTATGATTACTGCCTATGATGTTTACTGTCTACTAGTTTAACGTATTTTATGCTACACAAGTTTTGTCACGTGATTTTTATGAATGTAATTGTGATAAATATGTTCATATCATTTTGTAATTGCAGGTTTCTTGCCACTGGGGACTCCTACAGGACCATTGCGGGGAGCTTCAGAGTGGGCATATCCACCGTCTCCATGCTCATCCCAGATGTGGTGGCAGCCATCTGGGACTGCCTCGTGGAGGAGTTCATGGCTGTGCCTGGAGCAGAGGAGTGGAGGTCCATAGCGCAGGACTTTGAGGTCCGATGGAACTTCCCTCTGTGCTGTGGGGCCATTGATGGGAAGCATGTGGCTGTGAAGGCACCCCCCAACTCTGGGTCCATGTTCTTTAATTACAAGGGGCACCATTCCCTTGTGCTCCTGGCTGTAGTGGATGCCCAGTACAGGTTCAGGGTCATTGATGTGGGAGGGTACGGCAGATCCAGCGATGGAGGCATCATGGCCAACTCTGCCTTTGGTGAGGCTCTGCGCGAGGGCACACTCGACCTGCCTCCTGACCAGTGCATACCTGGAGCTGACCACAGAGGACCCCAGCCCCATGTGTTCGTGGCAGATGAGGCCTTTCCACTGCGCCGCAATTTAATGCGCCCTTTCCCTGGACGTGGTGGCCTTACCCCAGAGCAGCGCACCTTCAACTACCGCCTCTCCCGGGCCCGGTTAGTGGTGGAGGATGCATTTGGGATTTGGTCTGCGCAGTGGAGAGTGTTTTCGCCGTCACCTGGAAGTCTCCCCAGAAGTTGTGGAGAAGTGTGTGAAGGCCACTTGTGTCCTTCACAACTTCATGAGGATGGCTGGAGATGGGCAGGTTCCTGCACCGAGGGGAGCTGCTGCCGGTGAAGAACCACTTCCAGGCGTGCAGCGGATGGGCGCCAACAACGCGACCAGAGAAGCAGTGGACATAAGGAAGGTGTTCATGGCCCACTTCAGTGAGGAGGGAGCACTGCCGTGGCAGCCCACAGAGTAGTCATGTCCACCACAAGACTGACCCACAACGGCTCTTTTCAGAGCCACCCACAACGGCTCTTTTCAGAGCCACCCACAAAATACAAAGAGCCTAACTTCATTCCTGACATATAATGTGCTGAGCCTCTTGAATATGAAATTCTTTACATTTTTTCTGGCCATAGTCCAAACCCATATTGATTTGCACTATTCTATTCACCTGTATACCTTCTGTTTCTAGGTAATGACTGCCAGACTCCACTGCGACTCCACTCCAACTTCAGGTTAATCATATGCACATTCAAGCTTTTCCGTAATTACAAGTTTGTTAAAACAGTAAAAGGTGAAATGAATAAAAAATACTGCCAACTAATGTATTGCTCTTTAAGTGTTAGTTATTTCATCTTCTATAAAAACCCAGTCAGCTCTTATTAAAGTAAATGTACAAATATAGAATAGCATTTTCTGTCAGTATTATATGAAAGGTAGTAATGGTTTGCTTGAAGTAGAACACATGAGGTTTGAAAAATATTTTCTTTATAAAAAAAGGAACAAACAATGAACAATAAATTAAATGTACATATAAACAAATGAAAAGGAGCTTGCTTGGAGGAGGTGCGGTGGAAGAGGAAAGGGACACATGTCTGTTTCCTCCCCTGCAAAAGGTGTCACCTTAGGTCAAAAAACTGTCTGTTCTGGCCAATGGTTCCAAATTAAGCAGAACGGTGCTGCTTTCATATAGAAGTTGATACATTTTGAATTTAACAAATTCTCTTGACTCTGGTGCCACCCTTTGCAGGAGAGGAACGAGAGAGAGCAGGAACTGATGTTCTTCTGAGTTGTGGGGCGGTGCGGCTGCTTTGGTCCGTAGAGTCTCCAGCAGCTCCCGCTCCCACTCTGAAGGCGGCTCTACGGACGTGGGCCTCTTCCGAGCCCTCTTCCTTGGTGGGCCTTCAAAGAACACAGGGCAATCACAGTGTTAAAAAGTGGAACATGTATTTCAAAAAAGCAAAATGAAGAGAGCAAATAATATCTGTATTAAAGCCAGAGTGTGTAGACATAGTTAAACACATGTAAAACACTTTTAAGTTGTGTGTTTGTGTTACAATTAACTTGAACATTGCAGTTATCAATGAAATTACTCACACAAGCACAAATTTCGACAGTTACAAACTAATATCTCTGAAGTGTATTTCGCAATGAAATTTGAAATTGGCTGTTAAAAAAGTAATACTCTATTGTCTGCATTAAACAGGATAGCTGCCATCTTGTGGCAACCTTTGCATGTATTTGTTCAGTACTTTTATAGCATAAGGTATTTCAGTAGTATGTTTTTATCGAAGAAAGAGGAAAGATGTGAAGCTTCAGACCAAAGCTTCTTTCCACCTGTAGTGCCTTGACATCTTGTCGTTTCTCTGTAAATTTGTCGTCTACACTGATGTAACAGCCCTTGGGTAATTTTGGCATATTATGCAGTAACATTTTGTTTATATGAACAGTCCTGTAATAAGAATAAAAATAAAACAATGATTAAAAAAAGCCACACCTGTAGGTGCAGAAGCAGGGGAAGGTCCAGCCCTCACAGAAGAAGAACCGGCTGAGGAAGAAGCAGCAGCAGCAGCAGCAGCAGCAGCAGGCAGCTCAGGCCAAGATGTTTCACCTTGTGTGGTGGTGGCAGTATCTGCACCAGAAGAAAACAAGAAATACAATTATTTCATATCATGTGTACATTGCGCTTATGACATTTATATGTACATAATAATGTACATTATTATGTACATTTAAATGATTTGTTCATATGAAAGGGAAAAGTGAAATTTAACACAACACATGATCAAGATCTATCCTGGTTTGAAAATAGCCAATGCCTATTTTCACCTGGCCATGATGTTAAGAAAGCATTAAAAGAAATGCATACACATAAAGCAATATAAATGTAAAAGTCAGCAAAATGTGGGTAATAAAAAGGAAAGAAATGTATTTTTTCCAACTGTTCGAGGTCTCTGTTTGCTGCATGACACCGACCTTCAGCACCTGACAGCCCTGCTGCTGCTGCTTCCTCTGGCTCTTCTTCTGGGTGGTTGTACCCTGTGGTCTGCTCCTCCTCGGCCCTTCGCCTTGGCATGTTCCCGGAGCTGTCACGGGGAGTGATGTAGGGCTCGAGGAAGGACATGACCACAAGGTACTTCCACGTCTGGCCTTTCCCTGCTTCTGCACCACTCTTCTTCACCTTTTCCTTCTCCTTCCTGCTCTCCTTAGCATATGTGTCCCTCAGGTTCTTCCACCGCTTTTTGCAAACTTCCACTGAATAAACACATCAACTCGTAAGCGGGAAAGTAGTAGTTTTTTTCGCGGGGAAATATTTACTGTGAAAAGTTAAAATAACTTACCCGAGACACCAACCACCTCGCTAACCCTCCTCCAAGCAAGCTCCTTTTTATTTCGGTCCCGGTAGCTGTGGTCTGCAGTGTTGTATAGCTCAGAATGAGCACCGACCTGAGCTATTAACGTGTCCTCCATGATCTACTGTCATCTACTAGTGTTTTCCCGGTAGTGAAATGCGTCACTACGTCACTGGAGGAGAAAGCTCCTGATTGGTCGGCACACGCGAATTCTCCCAAAAAGTTCAACAATGTTCAACTCTAGCGGCGGCCGCGTTGGAGGCACGAATCGCGCGAAACGCGCGTCAAAACGCTTGACATCTCAAAACACGCCGCGCGAATCGCGCGAAACGCTCGAATTCGCGCCGCTCTGGCCGCGCGAATCGCGCCGCGTGATCTCTTGCCGCTCCTTGGCGCGCGTCCCCCATGTTGTGTCAATGTAGACCCGCCGCTTTGGCCGCAGAAATCGCGTTTGGTCTGAACGCACCATTAGAGCGAGAGCCAGAGGAGCAGAGTTTGTGGCACTAAAGTGTGGATTTAAACAAAACCGAAAGATTTAAGAAGAAGAAAAGTTCAGGATGACAAGGGACACTAAAATCCCCACAAAATCCGATCTTTATTAAAGCTGTAGGTTCTCTGTCAGCTGAGGTCGAGCTGTTTTAATATGCATTGAGTTCTATGAGGAAAATTTCTGGGTAGCCCACGTGAATTTAGTCTGGTTCAGTCTGCAGTACCGCGAGAATCCCCTGAGCACGTGAGTTATTCAGCTACAAGCTAGTAATACCCTATCCAGTTAATATAATACATCCATGGGGTGAACAAAAGGGCAGAGGGGCCCCCTGCGTCATTCCGTGTGCGCCGGGGGCGGTCACGTGTCCTGCAGGCCCGACGTCATAAGTCCGGGCCTGCTCATGCCATGTGACTCGACTGTTCCGCCCACCCCCTGGCTCTTGCCTCATGGAGGGGGGGCGAGCCCCTGGAGTAAGAAACCCCGTGCTTAGCCTCGTAGCTTAGAGCAGTGGTTCCCAAAGTGGGGGTCCCGACCCCCCGGGGGGTCGCAAGATGATTTCTACACAAACAAACAAAAAAGATTTTTTTTTTTTGAGCAAATATAAACCCCTAAATATTTATTTAGCATTTGATTTGATTCAAAAGGACTACTTGTTAAATTGTGTTTGGAGACTATAATATATTTTAATAACGTTAGTAATTTTGTCCCAGTCATTGCAGCGTCAATCAAAATCATCACGTAACACAGCTCACATCATGCGCAGCGGCAAAGCGTGTCCTGCTGTTGTTTGCTAAAACTAAAGGTGTTTGGAGGCTACAAATAAATAATACCTGCTTTAAAATGAAACGTGGTTAATATCCACAACAGAAAAACCCGGAGGGGGAGAAAAGTCACTTGTATCAGGGGTCAGGCTGATGGTGCGAAGAGAGGGAGAGAGGGCAGAGGAGGGAGAGAGGGCAGAGGAGGGAGAGAGGGCAGCGGAGGGAGGGAAGACAGCGGTAGAACAGCGCGTTAAAGAGGCCCGGCTTTTCGGAGTCAAAGGTAAAGAGGTCCGCACATTAAAAGCGGGTGGCCGGTTTATGCCTTTACTGACAGTAACTTTGGAAAGAGAAGCCGCGGGGATGAACCGCATAAAGTAACAGCAGAAAGCGGCCGCTTTTAATGTGCGGACCTCTTTACCGCTGACTCCGGAAAGCCGGCCCACTTTACCGCGGTAGGAGAACAGTGAGGGCGAGCCGCAAGAAATGCGCTCCACTTCTGCTGAGGAGGGAGCCCACCAAGCCCATCACTGTGTAAAAATATGCAAGCCTCCTTTTTTGGGCTGGACAGTGCAGCTCGGTAGTGGCGTGAGTCTCTAGAAAGCGTTACTCCGTATCAAGGAAATACATGCTCATTTCATGTGACGGAAGGGCTGTTGGGGGGGGGGGGGTCGCGGGTTAGCAGGTCATTTATGATGGGGGTCGCGGGCTAAAAACTTTGGGAACCCCTGGCTTAGAGGAGCTAACGCGTGTTCGGCCGAAGCACACACAACACTACTCACCAGGTCCCTCCGCTTGATCCCTCTCTCGGAGGGCATAGCATGGATCAGTGGACCGGAGCTCGTAGCCCGCGTAGCACACTGCACACCCTGCTCTGGGGGCTGCAGGCCTAGCGGGCCAACGTTATGGGCTCGGGAAGTTACACAAGCACATGACACATTACACATGTTACGTACCCCCAAATGAGACTCAGACAACGAGTACTGATGAAATGCCAGACGGCCTTTATTAGCAAAAGTTATGCCACCCCAGCCTCCTCTACTGTAGGGAGGCCGGCGGTGGGTGCGCTGCTCCCTTGGGCGTCCCGTGGGTCTGTCAGGACCCGGGGGTCTCGTCGAAGGGGGACGATGGATGGTGGAGCGTGGGTAGGGAGCGGAGCGCCTCCTGGGCGAGCGCTCTCTGCCTCTGTCCAGGCTCCGTGCAGCTTTGTGGGCCTCGCGCCTCGGAGCTAGGTGCTGTGCTAGCCTAGCCGAGTCCTTGGCCGCAGACTCCAGTCTGTCCACCAGGGCGGGACGTCTGGGGCAAGAGGGACGTCTGGGGCACGGGCAGGTCCAACAGTTGCCTCTTCTCCGCCTCCCTGATGTTTGCTAGCCCAAGCCAGAGGTGCCTGGCCCCGACTTGGGCTGCAGCCATGGTGCGGCCACCATCCACGGCAAAGGCCTGGCTCATGCGCAGGAGAGCCGCGGAGGTGGTCCTCGTCTCTGTCAGGAGGTTTCCGCTGAGCGCCTGGCCAGCGGAGAGCGACCTATCCAGGGCCCCCGTGATAAGGCCATGTTGTTAGCCAGGGCGACGACCTGAGCCGCGTTGGCATAACACCTGTCCAGCATAGCCAAAGACATCCTGTCCCGCTCGGAGGGAAGGAGAGGTCTGGCGCCGGGCCACACGGATGCGGAGGGCAGCAGAGCCATGCGGACTGAGTCCTCAATGTCCGGGACACCACCGGCCCAGGACCAGTCCTGCATGCTGCAGTACATGCCGTACCCCAGAGCAGGCCTCTTGGCTGCTAGGGGCTTTGGCCACTCACGTGTCGCGTAATGGAGGATCGGGTCCATCCGCGAGCACAGCGTGGGTTGCTTCCTCCTCCTCCCTCGAGTGGTGGCGCCCACCGAGGTGAAGTCCTCCACCGCCTGGTCCGGCTGCGGTGGTAGAAGAGCGTTCATCATGGCCGCCGCGGAGAAGTAGAGACTGGGCATGTGATCCAGTGGGAACCGGTCCGGCTCCGGGTCTCGCTGGAGTTCTCCGGGCGCTGGAGCACCGGAGAACGCACGCCTGCGCCCACTCTCCTCTCTGGGGAGAGCGAGACACGAGGCGCAGCCAGCGCTCTCCGCTGCATGGCCCGAGCCCAGGCACAAGAACAACGTGAAAGCTGGTCCGTGCGCGGGAACCTGACCCGACACTCCAAGCAACGACGACGTCCGACACCGGAGGGCGAAGGGGAAATCGGACGAGCAGTCGAGGCAGACATCTCAGCAGACAAGTAGATGTAGTAGATGTAAGTATGATCTCAAGAGTGAAAGAGGGAGCGCGGCCTTGTGCAGGGGCTTTTATAGAGGAGGGTCGCTAGTGATTGGAGCATATTTATAAATATTTGATCTCTCTGGCGTGTGACCTGGGGGTCATGTGATATCCCACTAGCGAAGTCCTAAGGGACGTAGCACCATGACGTAGAACTGTTTCCCACTACACTGATCTGAACAGCTGCAAGGTGCGCAGTTTAACCTGGAGCTGGATTGGGACTGTGGTGTTTTCATTCACTAAACATGCTCACAACAGCGATGTACAAACACATGCTCATCGCCTGCTCTCACACACTGTTCTCATAGACTACAGTCATAAGAAATGTTGATTTATAAAAGCAAATTACATGTGGAATTAATGCTGTAGGTGATTGCTATCACAAACCAGGAAAATGACGTTCGGGTTGTATGAATGAGTGTAAAACATGACAGCAGCAAGAGGTTGTCAATGAAAGACGACAGCAGACGGTGAAACACATGTTGTATTTGTAAAGTGGGCTAGATCCACCTGCGTGTCTGCGTTCGCTCACCCCGCTACATCTTTGAAATGTATCTAGTGCATTGTAAAGCAATATCATTGACAATAGAATGGTACATCATCTGCCCCCTGTGCCTCGTCCCTCACTGACATTTCAAAAGCGCAGACAGACACATAGATCATGTGTTTGGACGCGGTTGTTTTGAACTGTTTTAGTCGATCGATTTCACAGTGACATTTGTTTACTGTTTTATTTTTGTCTTTTAATGTTGTTTTATGTCTGTATTTGTCTGTGCACACTGGAAACTTTTGCTAATGTATTCCAATGTGGTTTTTTTACTGTAAATGGCAAATAAACTGAATCTGAATCTGAATCTTTTGTAGGTGTTGCGGTGGACAGCGGCAGATTAACCTGCTGATGCGGCTCCAGATCCTCTTTCAGAGACGTCTCCGCTGCATTTCTCTTACATCGCGCTGCGGCCATGTTTTAAACGCGTTGCTTCGTCACAGTTTATTGTCAAAGTTGTTCATTTGTGGAGAGTATAACCTGAACAACATTTCTAATGACTTAGTGAATGGCAACAGCATCCCACAACACTGACCTGAGCAGCTGCAAGGTCTGCAAGTTAACCTGGAGCTGAGGTGGGACAGTGGTGTGTGTCCACTCACCAAAGGCGCTCACAATAGCGATGTATAAACTCGGGGCCAGGTCCAGAGCAACGTTAGCATTAGGACATGTTAAACAAGCAGTAGTGCACACGAAGAGTGTCATGAAATCGCCACGAAAGCAGCGCATTTCAAAGATGTAGCGGGGTGAGCGTACGCAGACACGCAGGTGGATCTGTACAAACACATGCTCATCGCCTGCTCTCACACACTGTTCTCATAGACTACAGTCATAAGAAATGTTGATTTAGAAAAGCAAATTACATGTGGAATTAATGCTGTACATGATCGCTATCACAAACCAGGTTAACTTGCAGACCTTGCAGCTGCTCAGGTCAGTGTTGTGGGACGCTGTTGCCATTCACTAAGTCATTAGAAATGTTGTTCAGGTTATACTCTCCACAAATGAACAACTTTGACAATAAACTGTGACGAAGCAACGCGTTTAAAACATGTCCGCAGCGCGATTTAAGAGAAATGCAGCGGAGACGTCTCTGAAAGAGGATCTGGAGCCGCATCAGCAGGTTAATCTGCCGCTGTCCACCGCAACACGTACAAAACCGCGTCCAAACACATGATCTATGTGTCTGTCTGCGCTTTTGAAATGTCAGTGAGGGACGAGGCACAGGGGGCAGATGATGTACCATTCTATTGTCAATGATATTGCTTTACAATGCGCTGGATACATTCAAAGATGTAGCGGGGTGCAACTCTGCAAGTTAACCTGGAGCTAAGGTGGGACAGTGGTGTGTCCATTCACCAAAGGCGCTCACAATAGCGATGTATAAACTCGGGGCCAGGTCCAGAGCAACGTTAGCTTTAGGACATGTTAAATAAGCAGTAGGGCACACGAAGAGTGTCATGAGATTGCCACGAAAGCGGCGCATTTCAAAGATGTAGCGGGGTGAGCGTACGCAGACACGCAGGTGGATCCAGCCCACTTTACAAATACAACATGTGTTTCACCGTCTGCTGTCGTCTTTCAGTGACAACCTCTTGCTGCTGTCATGTTTTACACACACGTTCGTCCTGTCACAGTTGCATGCTCATTATTAGTCACATTATTGCTCATTCATACAACCCGAACGTCATTTTCCTGGTTTGTGATAGCGATCACGTACAGCATTAATTCCACATGTAATTTGCTTTTCTAAATCAACATTTCTTATGACTGTAGTCTATGAGAACAGTGTCTGAGAGCAGGCGATGAGCATGTGTTTGTACATCGCTGTTGTGAGCATGTTTATGGAATGAAAACACCACAGTCCCAACCCAGCTCCAGGTTAAACTGCGCACCTTGCAGCTGTTCAGATCAGTGTAGTGGGAAACAGTTTGCGAGGCACAGACAGTATTTGGAACAGCAACAACACGTCTGACTTTACGTTGATTATATCTAATAGCAATCCTTCCTCAGAAACACTACGGGAAATGTGTCTGTATTTCGAACTTTGGACATCCCGCAGAGGCAGAGGCCTTTTATTGTGAAAAATATCTGAGCCACGCCCACTTTCAAGCATTTTGATCTATGAGTAAGTAGAACTCGCTCACCGGAAGCACTGCTAGCTACTTCCACGGGTCTGTTTCAGAGAGGTATCTCGAGATACCTCTCCGAAACAACAGGTATCTTGAGATACCTCTCCAAAACAATAGGTATCTCGAGATACCTTTTTGTTTTTTTTTACTCAACTGTTTTTTTTTTTTTTACTCAACTATGCATATGTAATATACACATGGAATACATCAGAAACCTTCTGTGTGATTGGCCTGATCTGAGCTGAAGGGGCTTAAGGAAGCTTAAAACAGCAGATTTTTCTGGCATTACTGCAAACCACACACTGGTGAGTAACAGCGTTCTTCTTTACTTTGTGTCTTAATGGCAGAGCCCTTTTTTAACCTGTAGAAATTAATGTTATTCAGCAGGTAATTGTGCAAGGTAATTGTGGTAAAGGACATACTGGGCAGGGGCGATGTGGACGGCTGATGCAGTCCTGAAGGCACTTGGCCTATTTGTGGCACATCTCCTCAGCTCCATCACAGACTGGTTCCAGACCAAAGCAGTATGGGCAGACCTCAAGGTTCTTGAGGACACAGAAGTCAAAACCACAGGAGGAGGTGACTGAAGGCACAAAATGTACCATCATAGAGAAAACTGACAAAGAATTCCACAAACTGAAAGCAATTTGAATTGTTGTTTTACAGAGAGGTTACTAGTGGTGATGAGCCAATTTTCGTGTTCACAATATGTGTAGCTATTTTTTGTAGAATTCTGCAACAAAAGGAATTTCTTGAAAATGCATCACTGGCTTTAATCCTATCCATAAGCTCACTCATTCCAACAATTCAGAAGCACAGCTTAACAGAGAGAAGGAAAAACAACAATGTTTGTTTCACTCTTAGGTGGAAGTAGTTTTCATCACAATTCAGACACTCAAAGACATATTTTTTTACTCTATAGACAGTGGTGTCTAGCTTAGGGCAGACAGACTGACAATATGTAGTATACCATATGTATATGTAGTGCCCATGGTGATCGTGCACTTGGGGCAGTGACCCCGAATATGGAGTAGTGGCTACAGCAGATCCCTGGAACAACAAGCTCTGCCCATAAATGCAATGTGCTGTTCCAGTGCAGGAACAGCAAAGATACTGCACAGAACCCTCAAGCTCCCAGGCCTCTGGTAGAGGACCCGAGCATAGAAAGGGATAACCGCCCGCGGAGAGTGAACATAGAATTATATATATTATATATCAATATATAATATTTATATAAATAAGAATATCACACAGAGAACCACACAACTCACCCGGTGTTAAAAGCCAGTGATGTGAAAAGATCAGGCTCGATCAGGCTTGATTACAAAAGTGTTATTTACATAAAGCCTTTTTCTAAAGTGTAAATGGATATGTTTACATTCAGTTCATGAGCGCTACAAGGCCAAGGCTCTGTGGGAGAAGACTGGAGCTGTGGTGATGGTGGTGCGTCGGCCTGGCTCACTCTTATGCAGAGAGGTTTGGATGTTTTTGTGTGTATTACAGTGGTCACTTCCACACAGTTGCCACTTACACAGTGCTTCTGGTTAAACTAGGAAGCTGCAGAGCTGTCTTCTCTCCAGCTGCAACTTCAGGACATGGAGGTTCCTCTTTTTGCTGTAGTCAAAGAAAACATTGGGAAAGAACTAGACACTTTCAAGAAATTTTTAACTGGAAAGGTCTATGTAGACCATAAGGTCAGTCAGCCACAAACACTCTCCTCTCCTCTCTCTCTATTTTATATATATGTGAGATTTCATAACACTTTTAAGCAACTTTTGTTAAAGTTAAACTCATCATTCTATCAATGTGCAGAAGCCAGTACTTTTCCCTTGTTTTGTCTATCTGAAGGCCAAGCTACATGGCACCGTGGCAGCTGCTGATTGGAGGTCTCCATGCCTCCGCTCTGTATAATACACTTGCATTCTGTTGTGTGTTTTGTTCGTGCTGTCTCTACCATCGACAATAAAACATGTCTTCTGTCGGAATTAAAGACGCAATCCCAGACTATGTCATCTTCTTCATATATATACATGTATATGTATATATACATGTATATGTATATATACATGTGTATATATATGTATATGTATATATACATGTGTATACGTATATATATATATATATTTATATATACATGTTAATATATAATATATATATATATATATATATATATATATATATATATTAAAAAGTTTGAATACAAAACAAACTGTAACCTTGTGTTTTGTAGAAGCATTTTTATGGTCCTGTCCAGCGATGCATGTTCCTCTCTGCATGTCTGCGCATTGGGGTGTGGAGGAGTCTTTGGCGGGCTTATCGAAAAGGCTTCAGGGGGAACCTCCGAGGGGAAGGCTTTGTCCTGGGAGGTGTGTTTGTGATTGGCCCAGGAGACCAGGTGAGGGATCCTCTGTCTACCCACAGCCACTGCTTTTTCTGGGATCTCTATCATTGTGCTGTTTTACAGGGCATCCTCTTGGAGCACAGAGAGAAGGAATTTGGGGATAAAGTCAACATGTTAGCAGTCATCACAGCTGTCCGCAAAATGCAAAAGGACATCAAATAGAAATAGAAATAGAATATGTATAGAGCACACAGCCCATGACATAGCCACTGTATGTCACTAAAGCACATGATTTAACTTGAGTGTGCACCTGGCCACATTTGTTTTACACGTATTTATAGAGCTACTGTACAAGTTTATCAAATAGAAAATACAATGTTTTGAGAATGTACATTTTCTACAAATAAAATTGGATTTGTGTCGTTGGATACTTATATAATGTGCATTTGTATCCTCATTCACACGATGAAGAAATTCCTAAATAAACGTGTTGGTAAAAGTGTGATGTTTGTGTAGTCCAATGCCATCAGCCTTATCTCTGGCTGACGGCTCGTCCTTGTGGCTCTGCTTGTGGCTCTGCTTGTGGCTCTGCTTGATCAACCTTCTGCGCCTGCGCTCACTTGTAGCAAGAACGTCGGAGGAGTTTAGACTTTTCATTGATTTTGGTAAGTTTTTATCATTACCAAACTGCTCTGTATACAGTCTTTCTGCAGTTCATTCCTTAAAGCCCTTTGCTCACTGTTGTGCTTCCGCGGTGGAGCTGTGCTAATTTAGCATGGGCTAACCAAGCTAATGTTAGCTTAATACCTCTGACAGTGACAGGGTAAAATAATGCATTATTATGTAAACTGGACGGGACCAAGAGACAGTTTTTGTATAAATGTGTCTACTTTGGCTGAAGACACTCGGCTGACATACTTAATAATTACATCTTTAATAGAGATGTTAAAAGTATTTGTAATAGCCTGAGGTCAGGTTAGGGAATCTGCGTCTATGCGGTCAAAAGGTCAACTATTTCATTATCACAACTAATGTGGGTATAACATAATTTGACTGTGTTCCTAAAGACTTTATACCTACTCCACCAAACACGTTTTGTGCACCTTGCAGTTTTCGTTCGTGTAAGTAATTTCATGGATCTATTATAATATTTTTCATTGGGTGGTAGCAATAAATCAATCGATTGGGATGCTGGGCAGAACTGGCATTGCCTCATGGGTGACTTGCCCAAGAATACAGCATCATTCCAGATTGAAATGCCAACCTGTGTGTTGGTGAACGAACACTGTTGCTCTAAACACTTTCTTATTATTAGGCTAAAGGTTTATTTGTCACAATTGGTCACAATTAGATTTGTTAATTAACATTTACATGCTACATACTATGACAAAGGCGTGTTTCTCCTGTCTTTCAGTGCGGGCTTGAGGCTCGTGAGAGGGCTCATGTGGGCACTGCTCCGCTGCACAAAGGGGAGGGTGTCTGTTCCCTGTTCTGCCTTGTGCTTGGCTGGTGCTGGCTTTACTAAAGTCCCCCTCCCTCCTTTAGGAGCCCCCGAGGCTCTGTTTCATTCAAGCCAAGCCAAAGCCAGACCTGACCTGGGCCGCCCTTCCACAGGCAAGACCCATTTGCACAGTTGGATGTGAAATAACACATCATATCATGAATTGATATACATGTAACATGGATAGTTCTAGTAACACAACATTTACTAGTTTTGTTGATTTAATCTACACTAAGTAATCTATTATTCTGTTTTATACCAAAGGTCAAGCAGAATTGATCACTTTGGGGCAGTAAATAAATGTCACATTTCCCTTTCACACTTTTTTGCATGGCAGCTCAGTCTGCTCACAAACACAGAATTTGCTTGTCTGATAAGTGTGATATCTCACCCAGCATTATGACTGGACACGGATCTGCTTCCTGTTTTACGTTGGTGTCTTGTTGTTATTTAAAGTAGGGTAGCCCCTGAGTAATATAATGCAAGCCTTATAGTGTGGTTGTAATTTCTTTCATACTCCCAATGCTTCCTTTTATTCTTGTGCAGTGTCTGGACTGGACAGGGAGAAGTTGGGGATGGGGATGTGGTCCTTAGGCCTGGGGGCAATCGGAGCAGCCATAGCAGGGATATTACTGGCCAACACAGATCTTTGCCTGCCCAAAGTGGACAAGGCCACCCTGGACTACCTGGGAGACGCTGACCTGCGCTCAACTACAGATGGTGAGATGGATTTAAAAGATTTATTGTTTCTGTTTACTTTATTCACTCTGCTTTCTACATAGTGAACACCTGCAACAACCATGGTTCATAATTTTATATTTGGTACATTTTGAAAACTCAATACAAAAACAATGTCCCTGCACTTCCCTAATCAGTACTGACATAATGCTGTATGGTCTGCTTATTTACACAAAATCAGTGGAAACAAGGTCAGATCTAGCCTGGCCATAGCCATCCGTACACTCCGCTCAATCATCATTTCACTGCATGTAACGTCTGGCTCTGGTCCCTGTGTTAGCGAATACAATCGTTTGTATTAATCGGTCGTATTTCGACCGGCTACTCAGCGAGCGCGGAAGGCGGGTGTTGTAGTTAGTTGTGGGTGACGTCAAGAGTTTGCGCCAATCGGGCAGGTTGTAGTTTGGCAATGGCGAAGAATGCGATAGTAAAGTAATCCGGTCTGGTTCTATCAAGAAATTAAAGCAGGAGCAAGAGGAATGTTTAGCAAATGTAATCGCTGGTCAAGATTGTGGCGCTACTCCCCACGGGCTCCGTTAGCAGCAAAGGAGAGGGCTAGGCTAAATGCTAAATGCTAACAACACATTCGGGCGCATTACATACGTCACGGTAAACTCCGATCCAATCGTTTCAATTAGGGATGTAAATCGGTGACCGTTTAACCGGTGGTTGACCGTCACAGCGTTAACCGGTCAAAGCTGTCGGTTAAAAAAAAGAAAAGTGGGAGAGGGGAGGTCTCTTAATAACGCTATTTTAAGCCCTATTTGCACGGTGTGATGAGTGGGTCTGTTTCTAGCTGTGTGCGCCAATGTATCAGTAAACTCCGGGCCGACTCATGCCGCACGCACGCGCGCGCGCACACACACACACACACACTTTCCCCTTCCATACGTAACGTCCACACGCATCATCTCTCCCCTCTGTTACTGCCAAAGCATACTGGCGCGGGTCAGAACTACATTGGAGCTTACATTTACACACCCATACATGTATTGTACACACACATATACCGGTCTGTCGCGCTCCTCTGTGTCACGCAGCCCAAAGGATCCGCGCAAATACGCGGCTCCAGTCAATCCACATGAAACATGTTTGTGCTGATGGTCCTTGGCATTGGCACTTTATATAAGTAATAAGTTGCATGGGCGAATTGTGGAAAATATGACTACTGTTGTAGACAATGTAATGGAATGTGTGACATTTGAAATAGAAAGGATAAATAGGAAAAATATACTCATCAGTTGCATATATAGGCCGCCTGGATCAAATACAGAACCTTTTATTGATCATATCGATAAATTGTTTGCCAATATGGACTCTCACTCACCCACAGAAAGCTTTATTCATACATTATATAGTAATTCATTCTATCCCAAAATTACCAGACCCACCAGAATAACTCAAAATAGACAGTCTCTAATATTCACAAATGTTCTCCAAGATATGACTAGTGGAATAATCATAAATGACTTATCTGATCATTTGCCAATTTTTGTAATGTTTAAAACTGATATTAAAAGAAAGGATCAAGAAGAATTGAACATACAATATATACGAGTCAAAAATGAGGAAAATAAACAGAAATTCAGAACAAGCTTGCTAAATTATAGCTCAGTCAGAAGTAGATTTAGCATGTAAACAATTTATTGAAATCTTTAAGACACTGTATAATCAACACTGCCCCCTAGTGGTCTGTACAAAGAAACAAAGAAAGAGAGCTCCTTGGATGACCACAGGGTTACTGCGAGCTTGCAAAAAGAAAAACATCTTATACAAAAACTTTATATCAAAAAATACAATTGAATCAGAAAGCTAATATAAAAAATATAAGAATAAATTGACAAACATAATAAGACATTGCAAGAAACATTATTACCAATGTCTATTGGACGAGAACAAGAGTAACATAAAAACAATGTGGAATGCACTTAATACTATTATAAATAAAAAGTCAAAAAACATATGTTTACCAAAGTACTTCATCAACAAAGGTAAAGAGGTAAACAATTCTGAGAAAATTGTTGAGGAACTGAATTCTTTTTTGTAAACATCGGGCCAGAATTGGCTGCAGAAATCAAACCAAATAATTTTAAACCTGAGGAAGAAACCCCGACCAACACAAACTTTTTTTTCTCACTGCAACAAATAAAAACGAAATAATAGATATTGTAAAAAATATGAAGGCCAAGCCATCTTTAGACTGTGATGATCTAGACCAGGGGTAGGCAACGTTTGTGACATGGAGTGCCAGTTTGAAATGTTCTTCTCATCTAGTGTGCCATTATCAATGATAACGCAAAGTTAAATTATGACACAAAATACAAAAACATTTCCAATATATCTGGAATTTTATTCTCAACAAAAACTTACATTTCAAAGACTGAAAACAACTAGCCTACACATTTAAACTAAAACTAGTGTAGTCTGAGGAAACATCAAATTATCAGATGCCAGACAGTCAGTGTGATCCCTGGCCCTGCTTTGCTTCACAGAGCTCTGTGATCTGGGGCTTATAGTTAGATACTTTAAGTTGCAAACATGCCTCAGAGTGCTCGCTTGTTAACCGACTGCGGGTGGGGCTGAGCACATGTTTCATGTGTGAGAACACCTGCTCACAGAGATATGTTGACCCGAAGACTGACAGCAGCGCCAGTGCAATGCCCCTGAGACAGCTGAATTTCTCAGGTGTAGATGCCCAGCAGGTGAGGATACGGGCTCCGTGATCTTTCACTGGTGTAGCTTCCAACTGTTTTCTGAGCTCTGCAAACTTAGTCACCCACAGTGTTGAGCTCTTAAACTCAATCAGCTGCATTCCCATGTCCTCTGTATCCATCCAGTTGATCAGAGTGGCATCGAAATCATGGCTATCAAAGCTGTCGGGCTTGATCAAGAAAGAGAACATTGGTCCGTACATTTTAAAATCCGCAAATCGCGTTGTGAACTCCACCTCCAGCAAATGCATGTACGTGGTTATTGCAGCGGTGCTGATGTTGCGCAGGGAGGACAGCTCTCTCAGGTGTGGGAAGTAGCGGAACGAGCAGGTGGAAATGTCATCTGTGAATACTGCCAGCTTACTGACAAAAGCCGTCCATGTCTCATACATGTCCAAAACAGTTTGTCCTGCACCTTGCAGTCTGACATTGAGCATGTTCAGATGTCTGGTTATGTCTGCCAGAAACATAAGTCTCACAATCCACTTCTCGTCCTCCAGTTCTGGATATTTTTGGCCCTTTTCATTTAGAAAGGCCTTGATAGCATCAAATAAGCTTACAAATCGCTCCAGAACTTTACCGCAACTCAGCCATCTCACTGCTGAGTGGAGAGGCAGATCTGTATATTCGCTCTCCAGCTCCTCGAGTAGGGCCTGAAACTGCCGGTGCGTCAGTGCAGATCGCTTCACTATGAAGTTAATAATCTTTGTCACCAAGGCCATAACTTCATTGAGATCAGAATTTGACATTTTTGCGCACAGATTTTCCTGGTGTCATATGCAGTGGAGTTTCATGATGGGGTGGCCGACTTTTTCTTCAATCAGTTTGACAGCCCCCTTGTGTCTCCCCACCATAGCGGGGGCGGCGTCTGTGGTCACTGCAAACACTTTTCTGATATTAATCCCTCGTTCTTCAAAATGTTCAATTAATGCCTTGGCCACGTCTTCACCTTTTGTAGTGTCAGGCATTGTCTTCAAGCAGCATAGTTCCTCTCTGATGATTGAATCACAGTACCTTGCCATGACTGCCAAACGCGGGATGTCATTCACATCCACGCTTTCATCAAGTGCAATGCTAAATACCGCTGCCTCTTTTAATCCAGCTGTTTGCTGAGCTCTGACATTCACAGCTATTTCATCAATACGTCGCTGAACACTTCTAGCTGACATGGGAATGTCCTTTATACGTGACTTGATGGTTTCTTTATTTGTAAAGCTTTCAAAAAGAGCATCATAGCAACTGAGAAAAGCCTCCTTAATAAATTCACCATCCGTAAACGGCTTCCCATATTTTGCAATGCAATGCGCAATGCGATAGCTTGCTTCTGTCCCGTGATTTTTAGCAGTGGTAAAAACCCTGAAGGAGCTAGCTTGTTTTCCATATCTGGACACAGCACGTTTAATTGACTCTACTTTGTCTGATTGGTCTTTGAAGGTCTTCTCGTGCTTCGTCTCAAAATGACGCTTAACACTTGAAGTTCTGCACACAACATTTTCACAGCATAAAGTGCACACAGCACGGTCCTTCACAAACACAAAACCAAACTCTTGTGTCCAGCAGGACTGGAATGGCCTAGGTTTTGCCTTTTCAGCAGCCGGCGTTGCCATTGTTTACATATCTTATCACTATCATGCTATCTGTCATTCATTCGGCGCGAAGACAGCTGAGAGGGCGCTAATCCACGTAGTGGTCCTAGTGCCGGCAGTTAAAGCGCACAGACAGAGGCAGATGCTTTTAATAGCCATAAAATGGCCACATCAACATTTCAAAGACTGAAAAACAGCTAGCCTACACATTTAAACTAAAACAAGTGTAGGTTGAGGCAACATCAAATGATCAGATGCATATAGCAGACAGACAGTGACGTGCGGTGAGGATTGTGATTGGGGAGGCACTGACTTTAAATGTCAGATTTACCATCATTATTAAAATAAAATAGCATTTAATCACCAATGCAATAACATTCACAAACTTCCCATGCTGTAAAGATGAGAGAACTAGCTTCTTTTAATAATCTCACAACCAATCTAGTTGCTGACTCTCTGCTCCGCATCAAACAACATCTTTAAGAAGAATAGGTGCGAGAGACGCGAGCAGAGAGAGAGAGACGCGAGCAGAGAGAGAGAGACGCGAGCAGAGAGAGAGAGACGCGAGCAGAGAGAGAGAGACGCGAGCAGAGAGAGAGAGACGCGAGCAGAGAGAGAGAGACGTGAGCAGAGAGAGACGTGAGCAGAGAGAGACGCGAGCAGAGAGAGAGAGATGCGATCAGAG